TAATTCAAAATATAAATAAAAAATATAATTATGTATTAATGATACTAAAATTACATTGGATAAAGTATAAACTGTACTTCTTCACAGCTCTATAACCTGTTGGTTCTGCTTGTGTTTTTTTTTTTTTTTTTAAGCTTAACAAGTCTTACACTGTTTGAATTAATATGATCTTTTTAAATTTTATTTAGAATCCTGCACCACACGTTTATGCCTTCAAACCAGCTCCGCTTTACCTGGAGTGTGACCTGGACTTTCATTTGTGTCCATTGCCACGATACACTGTCCCTAAGGTCGTGGGTGTGCATGCCCCTCAAACACAAAAGAAGTTTCTAGATAGAAAGGTTTGTTGAGACATTTTTTGCATCACAGCAAACTCTCAATCATATGGCCTTAAAATGAAGTTTTATATCATAGCTGGTACTATATTACTGTCTGAAATGATCATTATCCTGGACAAAATTATTTGTTTTATAGTGTTTATTTTAATGTTATTACTAAATATACGTTTTATCCTGTAATCATTTGCTTAAAATATCAAATGCAGGATATAATCAAAGGGATTATGGTGTGGAAAAAGTTTCCCTGTATGGCCTTAAGCACTTTATCGAATATTTCGAGTCTAAGAAGCGACTGGGCCCCACGCATGTAAGTATTGCATGCACTCATATAAACATTCATTTGTTGGCTTACCTCTTATTTACAGGAACAATATTGTTTTATATCTAGGTGTGACCCGTTCAGTGTTGTCCTGCTGCCTGTGGAGGCCCCTCCAGATCTTCAGGGTCTGCCCAACAGCATCAGAGATGAGATTCAAGCTGAAGGGTAAATATAGATTAACACCAGCTTGAATAAACCCTCCATTGCTAATTGTTTGGGACGCCATTAGATGCATGCTGGTTTGATTTTTTTGCCAGGTCTGAGAGCTCAGATCTTCGTCTCACTCCTGAGATGACTGAAGCAGAGTTTGGTCTGTCTGCGAGATCTTCAGCTTCATCTGTTAAAAAGGATCAAGATGAAGGCAATGGGTTGGTACAATGGGTTATCAGATTTGACATTTTGGGTAATTGAGAATTTGCTAATTGTCTTGTTCTTTATCATGCCCAGCATCATAATATGCCTACTTCCTTACTATATGGTTGGCGAAAAACAGAATGTGAGCAAAATAGTGTGTCTGAATTCATAGTATTCATAAAACAGAATCTGAAAAGTACCCAGATGCACATCCACTGAACCTTTTTAATATCCCATGAGGCAACGGGAGGATTTATGAATAGTCGTGAAACGATGGAACAGATGCTGTCGGTCACATGATAATGAGAGCATGGCGAATGTAATAGATCCAAGTTTAATTCATACTACACATTCATACTACACTCACCTAAAGGATTATTATGAACACCATACTAATACTGTGTTTGACCCCCTTTCGCCTTCAGAACTGCCTTAATTCTACATTACATTGATTCAACAAGGTGCTGAAAGCATTCTTTATCACCCATATTGATAGGATAGCATCTTGCAGTTGATGGAGATTTGTGGGATGCACATCCAGGGCACGAAGCTCCCGTTCCTCCACATCCCAAAGATGCTCTATTGGGTTGAGATCTGGTGACTGTGGGGCCATTTTAGTACAGTGAACTCATTGTGGCCATAAAGGGATGGACATGGTCAGAAACAATGCTCAGGTAGGCCGTAGCAGTAGGCCTAAAGTGTGCCTAGAAAACATCCCCCACACCATTACACCACCACTAGCCTGCACAGTGGTAACAAGGCATGATGGATCCATGTTCTCATTCTGTTTATGCCAAATTCGGACTCTACCATCTGAATGTCTCAACAGAAATCAAGACTCATCAGACCAGGCAACATTTTTCCAGTTTTGAACTGTCCAATTTTGGTGAGCTCTTGCTAATTGTAGCCTCTTTTCGCTGTTTGAAGTGGAGATGAGTGGTACCCGGTGGGGTCTTCTGCTGGTGTAGCCCATCCGCCTCAAAGTTGTGCGTGTTGTGGCTTCACAAATGCTTTGCTGCATACCTCGGTTGTAACGAGTGGTTATTTCAGTCAAAGTTGCTCTTCTATCAGCTTGAATCAGTCGGCCCATTCTCCTCTGACCTCTAGCATCAACATGGCATTTTCACCCACAGGACTGCCGCATACTGGATGTTTTTTTACCCTTTTCACACCATTCTTTGTAAACCCTAGAAATGGTTGTGCGTGAAATCCCATTTTATGAGCCTTTTGTGAAATACTCAGACTTAAATCACCTTTCTTTCCCATTCTGACATTCAGTTTGGAGTTCAGGAGATTGTCTTGACCAGGACCAGGATTGTCTTGACACCCCTAAATGCATTGAAGCAACTGCCATGTGATTGGTTAATTAGATAATTGCATTAATGAGAAATTGAACAGGTGTTTCTAATAATCCTTTAGTTGAGTGTATATAGAATGCACTTTTTTAATGGTCACAAAGGAAGTTTCAAACCTACGAGACTTGGATTTCTGTCATTTTGAGGTTGACATATGATTGAATAGAAACATAACCTAAATCTTCTCTGTCTGCAAGTCTCAGAAGTCCAATAGCACCAGTCGCCTCTGCAGGATCCACAACAAGGTGAGCACCAGCACTTTAATCCATCTCATAATCCTCATTTTGACAGGGTAATCATTGTAAAAGCTATAAAACATAAATTCATAAAACAAAAAGGCAGTTTTTGTTTGTTCTACAATGTAGGGGAAGTTGATTCCACCATCTGGGCATGAGAACAGCAAATGATTTGCTTTGTTGTGCAGGTTACAGAATGAAGATGACATGAGATAAACTTTCTTCCTCTTTAATTTTTGGATCACAGCAACACACGTGAGCAGCCGTTGGAGTCAACACAGAACAACAGACTGGGACCAAAAGTGCTGGGGAGATTAAAAGAATTGAAATCTACAGGCAGAGTCAGCTGTGCCTCATCATGTGACAGTAAATAGCACTTTCGTCTTCAAAAGAAATGGAAATGGACAGTAAAATGCAGTGGTAGATCAGGTAAACGTGCAGATTTCAGCTAAATACAATGACAAGCCACCAGATGGCAATAAATGTCTGTCACATAAAACTCAACAACTAACAAGAAGTTCTAGTCAATGTTTGTATGAAATCTCTTTTTTCACAAGTTCAGTTAAATATATTTTCTAATCTTATTTCCTTTATCATTCAATTTGCTTTCTAGTAAACCTAAACTACAAAAACACTTTTTTTAAACTGTAGATATGTAGAAACAACTCATATGAGCACATATGAAACAAATCAGACATAGTACCATAAATAACAGCAGTCCTCTATTTGACATGAATTCCAAGTTTGTGCAAAGGTTATTTTTTATTTGAATAAATTGACAACATAACGTTAATTTATATATATATAATACTAATAAACTAAAAAAATTGCTAAATTGCTTTTTGGCAAGTCACCTTTCTTTAATTACAGCAGTCCACGATTTTTTTTTGTGAATTCAAAAGTGCAAAATATATTTTTATTACTTTAATACATTTTACATGTAATTTTTTACATAAAATCTTAAAATACCATTTTGAAGTGGAAAAAAAAAATATGTGACTGCAATGCATGTTTTTGGCAGATATTTTCACTAACATGACAACTTAATCGAGCATTTCCACCGATTCAGTGAGACGTTGATTATTAGGAAGAGAGTGATCATGAGGTTTTACAAGCTTCCGTTTTACGCGGTCTGGTTTGCACCCAAGCAAATGCCAGCCTGGATCTAATCCGTCTGACAGTCTTTCATCCACAACCGTTTTGCTGCACTGCTCTCACCTCCACATTAACCTCACTATAGCGAAACGCTGCTTGGTTCCTGTCCCTGAGGACACTGCAATTAGCACCCTGTATTGCATGAAGTTAATGGTAGTTGACACCCAATAACTATCACGTCATTTGCATTACAAGCAGTTTTTGTAATAATAATTGTGATAATTCTCAGCTGCTTTCCATAATCAGTATCTCTCAAAAATGTATCTATAAAAAAACCCACAAATCTATGATTAAATGCATGAAAACGTTTGAAATAAGTCATTGGATGCCTATTTTTTTTGTAGTATTCAAACAAAACAAAAAAATAATCGTAAAAAACTACGCAGAGACGCTGACACCTAATTTCATTTGACATTTTTACTTAGGGTTAGGCACCAAAACTGCACCGTTTGCATTTTCAGCACAGCTCCTTAACTAGCCTTTAATGTTTGGTAGTTCTAATTGTTGGTCTACCGTTCCCAATGGACAACACGCACTGAAGTCATAGATTGTCACATTAAGGGCAAGCCTGAACAGGATTATGCCCACAACAACTGCACAGTTTGATTATTTGGATTAATTGTTGATGGAAAAATCTCGAACAAACCAATAAATCCACAGTGGACATGAAATGTTAGGAAAATTTCTACAATATTTTTATTTTATTACAGAACATATACAACAATTTACAATTAGCTGAATGAAAATAGAATATACACACAAGAACAGAACATGATGGACTAAAATAGGGAACCCTCATGTAAAAAATAAAACCCCTCAATTTTATCACATTACAGGATGTTCTGCTCGCTTGGTAAAAGCAAAAACTTTGGTATAGTAGATAAGACCAAGGCTTGGGAACAATTTCTGAGAACTTGTTTGAAATTTAAACTGCATCAAAAGTTCAAAACTGAAAGATATTCTGCGTATTTACTAATGCTGGTTAAAAACCACTTACAGCATGACATCTCACAGAGAGTATAGCTGCACACAAAAACAACTTAATCCACAGCACAGTTCTACCATTTCAGGCATCACAATACCTGATATTGAGATACTGCAATACTCCATAGCAAAAGAATCAGGAACCAAAATAACCAAAAACAGAAGACGATCTCGGTGCATTGTTGTCCAAAATTACTTCTTAAGACGATCCTGCATTAGTGAGGCTAAAACAGTCTGATCTGTCATTGTTTACGTGCCTTTACAAATTAGATTTAGGTCTTGTGAAATGCCAAATCTCTAACTGACTCGTCTATAAATAGTACATGTTGCTCCTGTGCTATTTTGAGATCAACCGATTCCTCTCAAATGATGCCAAATTTCTCTATATGGGTAAATGTGTAATCCATGTTCCTGAGAATTCCGTCTAGAATTCCGTCATAGAACTATTTGTCCTTCTTATCCTCCATGACCTCGGATAAATCCTCCTCCCTAAGAGTCTTCACTCGGGCCTCCATGTTGGCGATCCTCTGTTTGATCTTTGTCTGGCTGGCTGTCCAGTCTACCAAAAGACGAGCGAATTTAGTCTGCATCACATCTAAATTTGTCTCCAGCGTGGAGACCTTTTCCTCCAGGTCCTTCGGGTCGGCGCCAGCATTGGCTGCAGCCTCGTCGATAAGATTGTCTTTCATCAGAATTGCCCTACCTTTCTCCTCTAAAGCCTTCTTTGCTTCTGGGTACTCAGTTAATGCTTCCATCAAGTCATCTTTCGAGAGTGCGAACAGATCGGAGTAGCCCACGCTGCGTATGTTAGCAGTCCTGCGGTTTCCGGCCTTACTTCCTTTGATGCCGAGGATGCTGATCTCGCCAAAGTAAGCACCATCACCGAGGACCACAAACTGCGTAACTCCATCATCCGCCACCACGGCTAGTTTGCCCTCTTTGATAATGTACATCTCCCGCCCAATGTCGCCCTTCTTGCAGATGTAGTCGCCAGGACTGAAAACCTGCGGTTGGAGTTTGAGGACAAGCTCAACTAGAAGCCCTGCCTCGCAGTCCTGGAAGATACGCACCTTCCGAAGGGTTTCCAGATGCACGTTGATGGCGATCTCCGCCTTGAGTTTGTCTGGGAGATTCTTGAGCACTTCCTTCTCATCGCAGGTCTTCTGTTCCGTCCAAAGGTAGTCAAACCACTTCACGACACGGGCCTCCAGATCTTTGGTGACCTTTCGGAACTGCATGTACTGCTTGATGGAGTCAATCTTGGCCTGGAACTCTGCGCGGGATGCATTCATGTTGGAAATCATGGCACCGACGTTACCAACGATGGTGGCGAAAATGAGCACGCCGATGAGAAAATCAGAAACGACAAATAAATACTCAATGTCTCGGACAGGCGGTGGCGTCTCCCCGATTGTAGTGAGCGTGAGAGTGGACCAGTACAAGCAGTAGATGTACTTCCTGGCAAGACGGCCAAACTCGGGGTCACTGATGTTGGGATACACCCAAGTGTCTGATCCAAAGCCGATTGTTTTTGAGATGGCGAAAAAGATGCAGCCGTTCCAGTGGATGATGATCAGGATGTACAGGACTAGATTGCTGATGCGGAAGATGTTGGGGAAGTTGGTTCTGGTTTCAGTGCGATCGAAGAACTCAAACAGACGAGCCATTTTGAAAAGCCGGTTGAATCTGAGTTCGGGATTGTTGTATCCCACTTTCAGCATTATTATGTCTGTCGGTATCATGGAGAAAATATCATATCTGAATTGCGGTGACTTTTTATAGTGTTCCCACAGCTTCTTAGATTCTCTCACCAGTAAGCCTTGCTCCAAAAAACCTGTGAAAACAATTACATACATTGTTTATTAGGTATGCACGATATATCGGCCACCATATTGTTATCGTTCAGTTTTAAAGTTATCGTTATCGGCCAAATATATTAAAGCCGAAAAATACATTATTTTTTTTTTTAAGTTGAGACACTTCAGATGTGCACTGTTCGCTTTGCCGTGATGGTTTTTTAATTGCTTGAAAGATGACTGGAATCACTTCAAAAAAGGAAAATACAGTGCAACGTGTGCAGTGCAAGTCATATAGGCTACATAAAAATTATAATGCGAACAGTATAATAATACATTGTGTGCTTGGGACATGGCTTTTAATGTAGGCGAAAAAAAATGTTTTTTGTCAGGCTCTCCAAAATTAAAAAAAAATGGATTTAGAATAGATTTATCTGCCAATATATCGGTTATCGGCTTTCAAATATAAAGAATTATCGGTATCTGTCAAAATGTTCATATCGGTACATCCTTATTGTTTATAGGATGTTATTTTTAGCACTGACAACTTCCCTGTAGAGCAGTGATTTCAGAAGGTATGTTCTCTAGTCTAGAATCGTTGAACAATAGTAATAATAATAATAACAATAGTTTTTGAATGAGAAATAAAAAATGAATACAGTATGATTTCAGTTTACATCTTGATTTTGTGTTCTCTGTAGTATTTGAATTTATAAATAGATAATTGTATTACATTATTCAGAATTTATTCATTTAAATATTTTTAAGTCAGCCTGTGGCCCCTTTAGCTGTTTGCTGAACCACTGCTTTAGATGGATTTTTAGTTCATTCAGTATTTAGTTAAATATGACAACATGAACAAACATAGAAAATTAGAAGAATAATCTCACCTGTTCTTGATCTCACAAATGTGTCAAGATAGTAGATGGCATCTGATGAATAGTCCAGAACTAACCATAGGATTGTGTAATCATCCTGCAACTCATTAAAACAGGATCTGGAAAGAAAGAAAAACCCCAGATCAGAACAGACTGAATTTAGCATTACATTAGAGCTATCACCACATAACAGCACTAGAATATTCTTTGAAGTACTAAATATTATTATATCTGACTTGCTTAGTTGGGGACACAAACTTACTGATTTGACTGCACTGACACTATTGGATGAGAACTGAACTGAGCTGGACGATGACATCACTGTTTTCTGCAGAACTGCTTTATAAATTAAATGAATAATTCGTATAAAATCTTTATACGGAAATGAATCGACACTGAACTGAGCAATGACAATGTTTTAGCCGAAATGAACATTTTCCTGTTAACACTGTAAAAAGCTGCTTTGAAACGATCTGTTTTGTATAAAGCGCTATATAAATAAAGGTGACTTGGCTTGATATATTTCAGCATATAGTTTTCTTGTATGTTTGATAATTAGGTGATCATTTTAAATAATATTTGAATATATTTGAATAATTAGCATGCAATATCATGGAACTTTTAATAAAATTACCTGGTAATAAGCATCATTAGGTTGTAGAAGGCAGGTATTGCTACAATGGTTAGCCAGTGGTAGTACAAATCTGACGCTGGATCCATTATCCATATCTGTTTTCTAAAAAGAAATGTATACAAAGTTCAGAACTGAGCAAAGACCTCCGTTTAATTGCATTTAATTGAGATAAAATACTCACGGTTTCTCCTCCTCCTTCTTTTTATCATCCTTTTTCTCATCCTTTTTCTCATCTTTCTTTTCATCTTTTTTCTCATCCTTTTTTGGTTCTTCTTTCTTCTCATCCTTTTTTGGTTCTTCTTTCTTCTCATCTTTCTTTATCTCCCTGTCGTCCTTTTTGCTGCAATCAAATGATGAATGATATTTAGTATGCAGCAATTAGCACAATGTACTTAAGAACAACGTACTAATATTTAACTTTCCCACATACTCATCTGTATTGTTGCAGTTGTTCATATTCAGTGTTGCAAGAGGCCAATGATTTGCATTATTGTTGAAGCTGTAAAGACAACAATATCGTAAATAGTCTTATTCCTGTAATTTGATTAGGTAATATAATATGAAATACTAAAACATTATGAAACATGCGCTTCATAATCAAAAACGACATTGAATCAACATTGGATTTACAATTGGATTCAAATGAAACTGAGAGTACTACATTGTTTTGGTAGTTGAAAGCATTATCAAATTATTCTAAATATTTAATAAATCACTCTCAAGGGGAGAGAGATGCATTTTGGAATTCTGTGGTAATCTTCTATGGAGTTCTGCTTTATCAGATTGTGGGCCTACATAATGTGGGAATGCTTATACTGTAATGCATTTCATTCTGTTAAATGTGAGTAAATAAGTAGCAGTATCTTCCACTAGACTAGCAGTATGACCAGGACCATCATCAGGAAGGGTTGTGGTTCAAATACAAGGTGTGAGAGTGTGATAGACAGCAGAGGTTTATGGTTACCATCAACACATCCTCTCTTGCTGTCTTGAGAAACACAATCTCACCATTAATCTCACCATAGACCAATATATATTATTAGGACTGATTATGTTTCCACTCAAAGTATTATTATTTTATTTTTTATGGAAAAGTATTATTATTTTACTTCCACATTTGTTGGAAATGTGGAAGTTCACAACATCTGCAGAAAAGAAAAAAATATGTATGCAAGCAGCTTTTCACAAATTACACAAGTACAAATAGCGACAGATGTTATTTACATTGTGTCAAACAGTGTATTGTTGAATATTATAAAACAGATAACAATATATTAAGTGTTTATGATAAATAAAATCTAAAATGGATGCTGCCTTCATGGAGCATTACTTGTACCTGTCCCTAAAGTCCTCCCCTAACTTACCCGATAAACATTATATTCCCGCTGTTCAAATATTCTCATAATTTATATTACTACTATTAATGATTTTTATTTAAATAATTGCTTTTCCGAGCTGATCTGCGATGCTAAAATGTAAAAGAATAAGTTCAGAAAAAGAATTTGGGTCGGTCGCGTCAAAAGGCTAACATCACCCGTCTAAAGGTCGAGACAAACCAAGCGGACGTCGGGACGTTTTTGAACATCTGTCGGCTAAGTATTTTCTGTTGGCTCTAGTCAGACGCAGTCAGGTTTTTTTTGGTTTGATTCAGCATGGTGGATTGGTGTTGGGTCTTTGGTTAGAAAGAGAACTCTGATTGGCTGTTCAGCTTAGCTTAAAAATGCATTTGACCGCATTGCTTTCGTAGTGTAAACTCTCATATGGTGGAAAATGTATGGGAAGTGTGCTAGCCAGATGGGGTTTAAACTTTGTTGCTTGGAGACCCAAGTTTAGTTTGAACTTTGAAGACAAAAAACGTACCACGTTCAATGTTCTCTCACCATTCCTCTCCCCATATTTTGCAAACTTATTTTGTCCATTAGTTTGAAAGATCTGAAAAAAACACCCATACATTTACCCGCCCATAGACCCTCACTTTGAAGAAATTAGGACTGAATGGTTGAAAGTGGACAAAAGATCCGATCGGCCAAAACTCATCTTAATTCCAGGTGTAAATTGGGCTTTTGACGTCGGCTCGGTGTGGCTTTTCTTGCTGTGCCGCTAATCCTGTTATCAGCAGGATTGCTTTTGTGATTTTGTAGGGCTCCACCAGACAATGGTGGGCGGAGTTAGCGTAAATTGGATCTGCCAGGCCAGCAAGGCAGACTATTTGCACTTGGTGTAAATAAACACTCTGATATAATACTTTATAAAATGACAAACTTTATAAAATCAGAATTGTTGTGGTGGAGGAAAAAGTTGTGGTGGAAGTTTCCATAAAAATGCACGGTGATTACTTTATTTCCAATTTAGTTTTTAACTTTATCATTGTGTACAAATATTTTTTGGAGGCCACTGTACATGGTTGCATTTTCACTCACTTCCTCTTGCGCAGTTGGTCCTGTCCTCTGTCATCCCATGATGCATCCTTTTCCATGTCACCAGAATCACTGCATTCAGAAGCTTTACATTTGGTAGACCTTCCTCCAAACCTCGGAATGAACTGGTACATCCTAAAAGTGAAGGTACAGTGTCTTCTTAAAATCACTTATGATGCACAAACAATTCTCAAATCTCCAATAGAGCAAAAGGTCAAATTACCTGCCCATTAGTCCACGGCGTGGCTGATTGCTGCAAAATACCCAAATATACAACAAATAAAATATAAGGACTTAAATGACTTCATTGAATGAAAGAATTGTTCTAGATGCAAAATAATGATTGATTCGTCTATATGTCTGCGGTATATATCCTCAGACCTTTCTCCTCTCTCGATCCATTCAATAGCTGGCTCAGGAGTGAAGGCGGATCTTTGTGAGGGGTATGACTGTTCTGTGCAGATTTTAGCCATTTTCTTTCCTGTTAGGCCTTTCACTGCACTTGGATCACATCTGGAGCATTTGTGAAATCACTTCTGTAAATTGAAATGCACTTTCATTAGTGAACACACTTCCACATGCACATAAATAGTCTTGAATTCATGAATAAATAGCATTAAAGCTAATTTTAGTAGGGTTAAAGTTATGCATTTTCAAATTGCAACACTTTGACAATTTTTGTACGAAAAAGATTAAAAATAAATCCTTGTTCTATTTTAAGAATGGACAGAAGGATAATGAATCCTATATACACTCACCTAAAGGATTATTAGGAACACAATACTAATACTTTGTTTGACCCCCTTTCACCTTCAGAACTGCCTTAATTCTATGTGGCATTGATTCAACAAGGTGCTGAAAGCATTCTTTATCGCTCATATTGATAGAATAGCATCTTGCAGTTGATGGAGATTTGTGGGATGCACATCCAGGGCACGAAGCTCCAGTTCCACCACATCCCAAAGATGCTTTATTGGGTTGACATTTGGTGACTGTGGAGGCCATTTTAGGACAGTGAACTCATTTTCATGTTCAAGAAACCAATTTGAAATGATTCGAGCTTTGTGACATGGTGCATTATCCTGCTGGAAGTAGCCATCAGAGGATGGGTACATGGTGTCCATAAAGGGAAGGACATAGTCAGAAATGCTCAGGTTGGCCGTGGCATTTAAATGATGCCCAATTGGCACTAATGGGCCAAAAGTGTGTCAAGAAAACATCCCCCACACCATTACACCACCACCAGCAAGCCTGCACAGTGGTAACAAGGCATGCATGTTCTGTTTCCATTCCATTCTAGCATTCTGTTTACGCCAAATTCCGACTCTACCATCTGAATGTCTCGACAGAAAGACTTATCAGACCAGGCAACATTTTCCAGTCTTTCCAGACCTGGTGGGGTCTTCTGCTGGTGTAGCCCATCCGCCTCAAGGTTGTGCGTGTTGTGGCTTCACAAATGCTTTGCTGCATACCTCGGTTGTAACGAGTGGTTATTTCAGTCAAAGTTGCTCTTCTATCAGCTTGAATCAGTCGGCCCATTCTCCTCTGAAATCAGTCGGCCCATTCTCCTCTGACAGGCCTGCCGCATACAACAAAATTGCTTAAATCACCTTTCTTTCCCATTCTGACATTCAGTTTGGAGTTCAGGAGATTATCTTGACCAGGACCACACCCCTAAATGCATTGAAGCAACTGCCATGTGATTGGTTGATTGGATAACTGCATTAATGAGAAATTGAACAGGCGTTTCTAAAAATCCTTTAGGTGAGTGTACATGTTAAACAGATGCAAGTCTGCTCTATAAATACACACTGCAGCTTAAATGCCAAGTAGAATCTGGAGCATCTTCTACGAAGATTAGCTGTTTTAAGACAAAAAAGAGCCTCTGGTTTTGAACAGAAGATTTCCGACAGGGAGGTAAAAATGCTAAAACTGGGGATTCCTTTAACCTAATGCTAGGATCAAACCTGCAAGTGCTCAAACTTGAGAAAAAATTGCAATGTAGCTATTCTGATAAAAAATGTCTTTATTTTTTCTAATTTTACATCTCCCAATTCTGACTTTTTCACACAATTGCGAGAAAAGTCATAATTGCAAGATAAATTTGCTATTGAGAGAAAAAAGAGTCGCAATTGACATTTCTCAGAATTTGTGAGATATAAACATGCAATTGCGAGTTATAAAGTCCCAATTATGAGGATAAAATGTTAGCTCACAGTTCTTACATTTTACCCTTTTTTTCTTATTTTTTTGTTTATAACGAGCAAAAGTGATTTATAAAGGCTAAATTGTGAGTTATAAAGTCAGAAATACAAGATAACTCGTAAATCTGATGGAGAAAAAAGAATCTCCAAAAAAGAGTTTATCTCTCAATTCTGACTTTATAACACACAAATCTGATTTTAAAAACTCCCAATTTGGAGTTTATATCTCTCAATTCTGACTTTATAACACGCAAATATGATTTAAAAAACTCCCAATTTGGAGTTTCTCGCAATTCTTACTTTATAAATGAAAGCGATCACACTTATTATTATTGGCAGTAACAAGCTTCCATACCCTCTGCTAGTAGCATTAGAGAGAAACCCTGAGCTTTTTTTTAATAAAACGGTGTTTTAAAGGCTACAATTGTGTATTATTGTGCAATTTATATGTGAAAATGAGTTTTTACGTGCATATCATACACAGTTTTCGCATGTATTTAATACGCAGTTCATTTGCATGTAATACACACGCACCCCACACCAGTACTAAACCTACCCTAACCAACCATACCATGCTTATCCTATGCATGTAAAAACTCACTTTCAAGTATAAATTGCAAGATAAACACACTGCGTGCTAAAGAGACACATTTATTGTGATCCGGTTGGTACATAAGTTGGTAAATAGTAAATTACATCCAAGTGTTGTTATAGGCTACTTTCTTTTCCAGACTGATCTCATGAAGTAGCGTGTGTATGACACGCCAATTCGTATTTCCATTTTTGGCGTGCTATCAAGACGCATAATATCAGCGCTTTTGGAATTCCACTTGACCAATCAAATTCGAGGACTGTGGTTCAGTTAGGTTGTCTACAAACCAGAAGTTTGGTGGTTCAATCCCCGGTTCCACCTGACCAAGTGTGGAGGCGTCCATGAGCAAGACAACTAACCCCAGCTACTCCCAACGAGCTGGATGGCGCCTTGCATGGCTGACACACCGCCGTCAGTGTATGAATGAGTGAGTGAATGGGTGAATGTGAGGCAAATGTAAAGCGCTTTGGTGGCCATGGGTCTAATATAAATGCAGTCCATTTACTATTTATGAACTACGCTGCACAAAACAAACTTACTACCCACCTGACAAAGGGTCGGTCCCCATATAACATAAAATATTCTTTTTATTTTATTTATCGTGTTCGCATTTATGAGGGGAAAATAATGTTACGGACGTGACAGTTCTCCATTATGGTCCGACATGACCACTCTGAAAGTGACTTTAAAACTTTCACAGAGACCTCAAACAGAAAGCACAAGCCTTACATTTCTTTAAAGTAAATTTCGTTTTTTTATTAAATGTATCTTAATTTTAATCAACCAATTGCCTGGATTTAATAAATAAGAAGTAAATATAGTACAAAATAGATCATCGTGACACAGAGAACACATTTTGCGCCGGTGTGAACTGGACTCTCAAATAATAAAAGAACCGAAACTCAGCATGTAGAAAGCTTAAAATGTCTACTTTTTAACAGAACAATTCAAAACGAAAGAAAACAGACTGCTCTCTGCTAATGATGTGCATTCACTACTGCGAAGATCGCGAGTCAGGATCGTCACCTTTATCTTTGCAGCGGACACTAACAAAGACTTGTTTATTAATAAATAATTAAAATGTCTCCTTGCTATATTTGACACATTCATAATCATTAGCCTACTTTTGCTGGTTCGTTGTGGCACCTTTAAGAAACTTTATTGTTAGCACTATACCATGACATTATGACATGTTAGAACGCGTCACCACTGCATCAGCACCGAAAACATGATTTTATTTATTTATTTATTCAAATCAAAAATCGTGATACGAACCGAGTTGTAGGTTTGGTCTAGGTGTTTAGTCGTTTCATGGTTGTAAAAACAAAAAACGATGGCTATCTGAACATCTTTGCCAAGCCCAGAACAGAAGTAGGCTAATCAATAAATTATCGGGGACGGTCATGCCTTTTTTACAACCATTTTTTGGAGGATCATAGAAAAAAATAGAGCTTTAAGTCTTTTTTGACTACAGATTTCAAATTTCCTCCGGTAGCCCCTTAAATAAAAAACGAACAGTCCCTAAGTAGCCTAACTGCTATAAAATAGCCTACTACAACAAAATCACACACATTTTTGCCTTAGTTGCTTTAACTTACCTGTAGCATTTGATGAGAAACTCTGTGACCCCCTGAAGAAAATTAATCCACAGGACTTTCTTCACATCAGCGAAACCCTATTCCACATATCATTCAGGTTCAAAGATGTTCACATGATTTGATCTTCACCGTGAAAAGAAAACTCAAAGGCTGTGTCCTGTGACCTTTCGAACTCAAAGCGCAAAGTAGCTCTCGGGTGTTTGATGGCACGTGTCTTGCTCTGCCTCGAGCGCACCTGCTATGAAAGGTGACAGAGTAAACTGCGCTCGCGGAATACATCCGATCCAACTCCTCCTCCCCACAACTAAACACACCTGACCAGTTATAACACTGAGAGGATGCCAAGACTTCAGAGTCCAGAACATCCCAGTCTTAGAACAGAGTGTAAGTAAATAAATACCATGTTTGCACAGCATCATGATTAAGGTTAACAAATTAGAAAAAAACAACAAGAAAAATCTGTGTATTTTGCTGTTTAATCGTCTTAAAATGATAGCAAAACATAATACTACCAATAATAGCTTATGCTCTTTTGCCACCTTTAACCTTTGTTAATACTTTCTACACTCTCCTCCACCCTCAAAGTGAGTCTTAATGGCTTGTGCCATAAACCTGTAAGCATTCCTCGAGGAAACCCCACACACGGCTGCTTTACCACGGAAAGATCAAGTCCTGACCAATCCTGGGAATCTGCTTGGTTTAGGCAGGCTGTTGAACAGAAGTCATAATCTGGCTTTACCCTCTAATGCTCTTTCTTGGATCCAGTGTTTAGAAGCTGTCAGACAGAGACATTTATCTATCTATCTGTCTGTCTAGCTATCTATCTGTCTGTCTGTCTATCTATCTATCTATCTATCGTACATAAGACGGTAAATGCATTACAGAACAAGAAATTTTTTCTCTCTATTTTTTTAATTCAGATTTTTTTTACATATTGTAAAAACATAAATATCTAATCATTATGGTAAAAATTAAGACTTGCACGAGGCATATGGTTTCACAAAGCTGCTAATTTCTTATTTATCTCAGTTAGATCATTTTATAAACTATGCCAACTTTAATCTAATTTTAATACTCTAAAAAAAGGTTCTTCAGTGGTTTTTCAGGTTCTTTGCAGTGGTCATGGACTCATGGTGCTATATAGAACCTGTTAAGCCCAGTTTGGTTCTTCAGTGGTTTTCTGGGGTGGATAATGTGCTCTATGACACCTCTTATGGTTTTACATAGAACCATATGACAAAGATAAGTGTGGTTCCCCTATGATTACAAGCCAATGAACCACTTTTTGTGCAATTTAGCACCATTTTTTTAGAGTGTGTGTATGTATTTTTGTGAGGTTCATAATCGCTCAACATTGAACTGTCCAATTAAATCAAACTAATTTGTTTGTTCCAGACTGTTGTAGCTAATGTCTCAGAATGTTGTCTCAGTCTTGCTGAATGTTGTGATTATCATTATTTCAGATCTTTTCTCATTATTAGGGAAAATGACTGATTTGTTGTGACTCCAGTGTGATTTTTTTTTTTTTTTTTTTGCTGCTTATTACAGTCATTCTCAGACAACACTTTGAGTGGAGATAAACCAGCATCAATCAGATATGTTTAATCTTTTGATGTCAGACTTCAAACAAGTGTTGCAGAGATGCTAATCTCTCAGTAATTCCATTGGAGAAATAAATATGAAACAAAGTATGAAATATGCAATTTTAGTCAAACATTGATTGCTATAATTTGAGGTCTTTTCTTTAATTAAGGTTAATATCATTTTAAAATAATGTAAATTTTAAATTTAATATTGTTCAAAACATCACTTTGTTTTTTTTAGTCTGGTATATTTCTTTCAACTTGGTCTGCTAATCGGTCCAGTAGTTCATATTTTAATGAATTAGAAATAATTACAGATATTTCTCTCTAAACCCACTGAAATTTAAATCCATACAAAAAAAGAAGGTAACACTTTATTTGCAGGTGACGTAGATACAGTGCACTTCTAGAAAATTATGCATAATTACAAATAACTAACACTATAAACCAAACCATAACTGCAACTTGTATATGTAGTTAATTAATATTACTCAGTACTTATTGGAGTAATGTAACTACGTCACCTTAAAATAAAGTGTAAAAAGATAAAAAAACTCAAGTGTTTGTGTATTTCAGATGTGCAACATTATGGATTTTCCTCATCAGTGCATGTTCCTTTTTCAAGTCGTTTAGTTAAGGTTGTTGGTTTGCAGATGACTGCTATAAAACAAAGCTGTCGAGAATGCTATATCAAACATCTCCAGAGATGAGATCTTGTTTACTGGTGTTTGCTGTCCTGTTAATTGTTTCAGTCCCCTGACTCCCTGAGTTATTTCCTTTATAATTACTGAACGCCTCCTTAAAAGTAAAAATAACAGCTGTAAAAAAATAATTTAAATTTGTCATTATTAAAAATTATAATACTGCTCAATGCTCAAATCTTAAGTAAATGAAGTCTGAGATAATGATTTGTGTATCTTTTTATTGTAAATGACCGATATATCCCATATACTGTTCAAATGAGGTCGTTGTTTTGACTAAGTCTCTTCTGCTCACCAAGGTTGTGTTCATTTAATCGAAAATACAGTACAAACAGTAATATTGTGAAATATTATCACAATTTAAAATAATTGTTTTCTGTTTTAATATTTTCAAATGAAATGTATTCTTGAAGCTGAATTTTCAGTATCATTCCTCCAATCTTCAGAGTATCCTTCAGGAATCACTCTATTATACTGATTCTAACACTCATGAAACATTTATCAATGTTAAAACGTTTTGCTGCTGGTAATATTATGGTAAAAACGGATACATTTTTTATGAATTTGAACGTTCAAAAGAACAGCATTTATCTGAAATTAAAATATTGTAACATTATAAATGCATTTACTGTCATTTTTAAGCAATTTTAATCCGGCCTTACTGAATTAAAGGGATAGTTCACTTTGAAATGAATTTTTGATATGTTTTAGCTTACCTCAAGGGCATCCAAGATGGTGTCTTTGTTGTGTTGTCTTTGGAAGTGATCTCTTGCGTATCACACATTGTTTACACGGAAATTTCGGAAGTTTTACCTTTCACTAAACATATTTAGATATACGGGAGATCGCAATGGAAGACGATTTCGATATATCTAAATGTTTAGTGAAAGGTAAAACTTCCGTGTAAACAATGCGTGACGTAGACGCGCGAGAGACCACTTTCGGCGGAAAGTCTGGAGACGGTTCAGTTCGGTTCAGTTGGACATCTGATTCAGATCAGTTCGACGGCTGTTAACAAGAGGTAAAAACTATATAAATACTGTTCGTTTTCTCACACAAACCGCTCGTTTTGTGTCTTAGGCCATCAGTGTTACATTCACGAGTCGTTAAATCATGTCTAATTTTGACTTCTCTGTGCATGCTCTTTGAGGTGGACCTGCATTATACTGTATGACTGACAGACAACAACGGTTTGACCAAAAATGTCAAAATTGAAAATGCTGTACAAACAAAGACACATCTTGGATGCCCTTAAGGTAAGCTAAAACATATCAAAAATTAATTTCAAAGTGAACTATTAGCCTACTTTAAAGTATTGTTTCATTTTAAAATAAATCTTACTGACATATTTGAACTGTCTTGTACATATGTCAAAGCTACTACATACACACTATAGAGGACAGTATGTACTCAAGATGTTATCAATTCCACAATTCTGTGGAAATTATCCACGTTGTCCAGCATATATTTGAGAATATAAAATTATTATAAAATCCTGTTGATTTCCAGGTGCACTAAAACATTTTTCAATATGGTCTCAGACTTTTGGAGTCAGCTATATAGGCTGTATTAGTGCTGTTGTCCTGAGCTGCAGTTCGGGTAGACTAACACAAATATAGCATGAACGCCCCCTGCTGGTCTATTGGCCAAACTCACCAGCCACCTATATATGTATTGTCCTACATAAGCAGCTATATGCCATAATTACCTAATCATGATCCACTTTTGCCCTAATAATTATAAGACCTTTATGTTCTTTGCTCTCCTCATATGCATTAGAAACACAGGCTCCAATGAATTAAATTATTGTGAAATACTGTTAATTAATTAGCATTTGTGATGTAAAGCAAGGTCTTACGTAGGAGATCTAAAACATTGCTCAGTTCTGTCTAAACGAAAGCCAGACTTTTCATGGGGACTGTTCACTTCTGGACCACATGGAGGAGAAAAGGCCCTGTCGTCACCTCCTCTAACCCATATGTCTCATAAACACGTCATGATTAAGCAGTCTCTGAGTAATGAACAGTGCTGGTCTCCGTCATGCTAATGTGAATGTTAAGCTTAATTGACATTTCTCATTTGCCTGTGTGTGCTGTTGTCGTTATTAATAATCCGCCTTAACGTGTGTGTGCTTGCACGGGCAGAGCAGCTATTTTAGGGTTCCTCTGTCATTGTTCTGACTTTGCAGCATTTTTTTTGAACTGATGAAGCAAAGAGAGCAAACTGTCTCATTTTAGGGCCATATGTCCACTCTTTAGAATGTGGCCATGCAGATGACCTAGCCTATGGTGTTATATGGCTCACACACACACACACAAAAGGAAAATAAGCACTGTGCTCTGGCTACACATGTGAGAAAGACTCAAATCAGGATGCATGGCATGTGTGAATATGTTATATCTTCCATCAGTGCATTGGAAGAGATGACTCATGCTCTCATGAATCATGATGATGTATGCATGCTTTTTCAATTTAGTGTCTGGTGATTTCTCTGAGGAGAAGACAGCGCCTCAAAAATCGAATCAACTAAATGTATTCATTTAATAAGATTGTGATATAAAAGTGCACTGTATCATATGCGATACACAAATTTCTAAGGCTTCCGAATTATCGACACGATCAAAACTTTGCTGAATAGCATGTTGCAAACATCTGATTGGTACTTTAAACGGTTTTAGCAAGTAAAAGGGCTTTTAATATAATTGTAAAAATATCCACCTTCAGGTTGTAACAGGTTTCCTGTTTTTTAATATTTTTTGTAATATTTCAGGATGAACTTGGGTTTAGGTTTTATTAGAAAAATAAAAATTAAGTTTATTTATCTATCAATCCTCATTGCATTGCATTATATGTTTTGCTCCACGCAATAAAAAACTACAGAGCTTTTTGAACATAAAACGAAGCATTTATCGGATATTTATATGCATTTAACACCTCGGGATCCACTTCCTCCTCACTTGTACTCTTCTGATTTTTGTAATATCATTTTTTCTCTTTAAAAATTGATCACATCCACCAGCAACTTATATCTACTTCTGGTCCCATGCAACTCACCTCTCCCAGTTTCATTTGGTCCCACCCATTTACTCACAGCATTTACCCTTCCCTTAGTAAATTAAATTTCCAAAGTAAAAAAAATCCAAATCTTCAACCTGCAGATTAAAGGCCACTACCCCTTTCTGTCCCCTCTCATTACAGACTCATTCACTCTTCCCTCATCACTGGAATTGTTCCTCCTTCTCATAAAATAGCTGCTGTAACTCCAATTCTTAAGAAACCTGGTTCAGATCGCACAACCTTAATATTTTTCAGCCTATTTCAAATCTTCTAATCATCTCCAAAATTCTTGAAAAAATAGTTGCTGCTCTACTCTATACTCATCTTTCATACAATAATCTCTATGAACAATTCCAGTCTGGTTTCCATCCTCTTCAGGGCATAGAAACAGCACTCCTTAAAATCACTAATGACCTTCTTATCTTTCAAAACTTAATAATTCAAATCCCTTACTGTCTTCTTGACATCCAATACTGGTTCACTTCAAACTTCCTCAAATTAAATAGCAATAAAAAAGAATTGCTTCTTATAGATACAAGATCAACATTAAACAAAATTCATAATTTTTCTATTCTCATTGATAGCTCCTTTCTCTCCCCCTTCCCTCAGGTTAAGAGTCTGTGTTTCATCTTCGATAGCACACACTCTTTATTGTCTCATGTTAATAATGTTACCCGGTCGGCTTACTGCCATCTTTAAAACATCAATCGTCTGGAGATGATCCTCAATGCAGAACATGAAATCCAGGGGGAGGAGTGGGATCCAGATCCAACTCCTCCCACCTTACATACCTAAACCAACCCATCTCCGCCCCACGATCCCTAACCCCACCCCTAATCCTACCCATCTCCGCCCCCTGTTCCCTAACCCCACCCCTAATCCTACCTATCTCCGCCCCCTGTTCCCTAAACCCCACCCCTAATCCTACCCATCTCCGCCCCCTGTTCCCTAGCCCCACCCCTTATTATTCCCCAACCCCTAACCACCCAGTTTTTTGTCCTTAACTGAATAGCTTCGGAGTAATTGCATAGGTTATATGACTATTTTCAGGCCAGCATAGTCTCATCCCAAGACGTCATACAACTGACGCTTTTGACCATACGTCAACATCCGCCGTTTTAGGGTACCCTTAAACGTCGGTTAGATGACGTTATCAAATCCTAACCCTACCCCAGACCTAAACCTACCCCGTCACCTAACTGACGTTAAAGGTAAAGCGTCAGTTGGATGACGCCCCAGGATT